GCTGAAAATTTGAATTTCAAGATAAAGTAACCTGAACGACTCGAAACATGTTTCTTATAGGTTTTCGACAATGCTCTTTCCAGTGGCATCATTTTTAAATATTGAGAAAGTTTTCTGAAGGGTTTTCGAAAGATCGGATCTCTGGAAAACTCCTTAACAAAGCTTTTCAAAGGCCAACTCTCATGCCATTAGAAAGAGGATCATGAAAATCCTATAAAAAAATGGTTCATGAAATTTTAGTTCACTCATAAAGCTAAAGTCCGCCTGCTCTAGCAAAAAGTGCCCACTGTGTCTGGTAAGGACCACAATGGATAAGTATCGAAATCTGCCACTGGAAATTTGATACTCTGATCTGGCAGTTTTGTAGCTTGCATGCTCACGAACATTTTGAGCTATCTATTTTTGAAATTTTTTAGAGTTTATCTTCCAAGAAGAACCTTGAATGATAACTTTCTCTGGAGTGAAGACTAATGCTTCCGCCAAATTTTGAGAGAAAATTGCTGGCGCAGTCGGCAACATTCTGGTGATATTTCGAAAACAAAAATTTCTTTCCAAATTAGGATTAGATCCAAAACACTCCAAATATGACTATATTAGACGAAATACGATATGTCGAAAAGATTATGTTTTCGTTCTCGCTTGACTTTTAGATGAGAAATGCAGGTAGTTCCAGAGAATGAAATTTCACATGAAATAATACTTTACTTGGCTCATAAGAGGTTGAGTTAAAGGCTTTAGCAAATATTTGACATATTTTTTGCTTAAACAGTCTTCAGATAAGATAAAATCAATCAAAAATCTCTCATACTCTTTCATCTAGATTAAGTATCAGCTATTATACACCGTTCGATGGAGAGTTTCAAGGGCTACAAAATGCTATATAAAATATTCAGAAGAAAATATAGGTGGGTAGTCTAAGTTTCCAAATACTTCAGCGTCCGAGCAGCCCGATAGGTCAACATCGTTCATGTTTATACTATCCATTTATTTTCTGGGCTTTATAAACGGCTGTATTTAATAGTGTCGTTTTAATAATTTAATAATTCGTTTTCAGAATTACAACAGCTAAAGAAATATCGATTCTGGGGCTCTCAGGAAATCCGACCACACCTGAAGAAGAGTTCACCTGAATTAAGAGTTCGGTTAGTTCTCATTTTGCAGAGGACACTTCGGACTACCTATCTATGAAAAAAAACGGATAGATTGGTATCTCAGTTTAAGGAGATCTGAACTTGCTTTCAAAAGATCCCCTAGGAAACCGGTCTTTCGAATGCTTTCGAAAAACTGTTTTGCTGATGAAACATAGGCTAAACTGTACTCTTTTCATCGCTGAAAACCACTGGTCTCTACATTTTGTCGTCTTTGAGTTAAAGATTATACGCCGACTAGCGTCGTACAGTTAAGGGATCTTTTACCTTATTTGAATGTAACAAAGAAGATAGTTCCAAAATAACATAATTTTATAGGTTTCAGGGGATCTTCTCCCCAATGCCTTATTCAGAAACAGCACAGAAATGTTTTGTTGCCTGATGTCGAGAGATCTCGGTCATCTGGAAGACTTTTTCGGTTATTTTTGTCATCTTTCGCAGACATTACAAAACGTAGACGAACGGTTAACTGGAATTTTTATCACTGATTTCAAAATACAAAGTGGTTCTAAGGTGGATTTTCAGAAGTTTTCTAAAGCTTCTCTAGAAACGCATAGAGTGATAATATTATAGAATATTGAAATTTTATTCAATTTCTGTCACCGTCAAATTTTTTCTTGACTCTGTACTATATAAAAGAATATTGTAATTTATTTTCATTCTTTTTTGAATCCAAATAATACAATGATTGTTCTTCTTAACTGTTCATTATGCAAACAAATAAACAAATGAATGAACAAAATAGAGAAAGCTGTTCAAAGAAGGAAGTTAGCACCTACTGATATACTTGTGTCACTTGATAGGTTTTTACCAGCTATCAAATTTTATTTAGTAGCTAATACTTCATGTAAAGTAAACGTTCCTTTTATACTTTTTAATTTTGGTGATGATTGTGTAACTTTTGTAATATCTTGTATTTCATAAATATATAATTTTAAATTAATTCGATTTTCTATTGCCTTTAATAAACCTTGTGCATTTCCAAATGTTTCATCAGGTTTATATGTTATAATATCAGCCATTTTCCTTTTAATTACCGCACCCATGGCATCTGCAGCGTCCTTTCCGTGACCAGCTTCAAGATAAATCCATTTAAATTCAGCTTTAACTCTTTAGCAAATCGAGAAATAAGGTAAAATACCGTTTTATAACGTTACTGTGCCACTGTACTATCTGCGATTAAATTCATTTTTTTTATTTTTTGTTGTTTCACCGATTTAATGAATAATTGATGAATTGATACCCAAGCTGCTTCACCAGTATGACAAGTGTCATCCGATAAAGATCCAAAGCCAAACGATTCTAGTTTTGAGAAAACATAGCCAGAATTTACTAATATATTTTGTGTATTATAATAAGCTGATCTTTCTTCACGAGCTTGTTTAAAGCACAAATGATTCACTCCAATCCATTTGAATTGTTACAATATCATCTGTGCAGCATCCAAGAGCATCCACTCGGGCTTGTTTAAAAACCGAAAATTGTGCTTTTATTCATGGTACCTGTTCTCTTAATATCTTCAAGTAAAAAAACAAAAGAAAGATTTGGCAAAGAATAGTTTGTAAACCTTTGCTACCAACCTCTTCCTTCAATTTTTTAAGTATTTTCTAAAAATATCAAGTTAACCATATTTCATCTATTAGTGTTAGTCAAACCGAGATCAAAAAAAGTGAAATACAGCACTTACATCAATTTCAGACAAAAAATTTCCAATAAAATCATTTAATGATGATATACAATAATTCTTTTTAGAAACTGATGCATTATGATTCGGCAATTTTTATTTTTGCCATTCAGTATAACTAATATTTTCTTGTTGTTTTCTCAATTCATCTAATTTTATCTATTTTATTTTGAAATTATTTGTTTTCGTATCGTCATTTAATATGTAACATACATCAATATCAATACTAACTAATTTTTTTGTTCTAATCAGTTTCTTCAATTTAATTTATGGATTCAAACAACCAGTACAAAAGCATGTGCCTCAATCGGCTAAATTAGATTTTTAACATGAATTGGAACATAATCAGAAAATGTCGAATAAGAAATGGAGGCACCAGTTTCGGCTTAAAATTGTTCATGAAGTACATTCAAGCTATGAAGACGAACACGAATCGGTTAATTTTTTTAATATCTGAAGATATTTTGAAATATCATCACGCTTCAAAAATTTGGATAACAAATTTTTTCAATTCGGATAGTTCGCCTTAGATTTAAACCAATTTATTTAAAAGTACAGCACGTGGCAAAGAGTATAACGTGCTCACTTCAGTACTGTTACAGTATTAATTAAGCAGACAATATAAGTATGCTACTTGGGGAAAGAGAGGGAAGTGACAATAAATAAGACGAGCCAATAAAGACAAACAACAACTGATAAGCTAAGAGAAAAACTACATAGAAATCAAAAAAGTACATAAAAATCAAAAAATGGTTCATCTTTTGAAACATGAATTCTATCTGAAATGTTTAAACCTAATCCAGCGCGTAAAGTTCGATTTAGTTCACATCGTAATAGATCCTTTTGCTCAATTATTTGAGCTTTCGCTCTTTGTTTAGCACTTGGACTCACATTATTCATAAATAAACCTTTTACCGTAATATTTTTCGTAACATTACCATCTGTACTCATTGCGTCATCGGTATCAGTAACAGAAGAGTTACTGAGAACTTTATTGTTTGATTTTAATAAATTTGTTAAATGTTCAACCTTTTGTTTTTGTTTTAGTAACTGACACCGTAGACGTTTAACTTGAATTCTGTATACATACGATAATTTTCTTAACTGTGCAGTATGACGACGAAGCTGCATAGGCCCGACGTCGACGTACACCTTCTTTTCGTCTAGCTGTGACTCTATCTGATGATGGTTGTTCTCGTGGTGTTTTTGAATTTAATCTTTGTACTGCTTTCCGTTTTCGATCGCGATTCTCCAATTTTCAAATTGTAATTCTCGGATGTTCTTCGTTTCATTTTCTTTCGATCATCCTTTTGTCTTTGCTGGCTTTTGATCTTATTTTTACTATCATCTTTCTTCGAAGCCATTCCAAATGACAGAAAAAATAATCTGAAACTGAATAAAACAAAAAACACAGAAAGAAGTCTGGAAGTTTCTCCATATCATCTACAAATATTCTAAACTTGAAAGACTACTGGAAAATCTGGTGGTTTTCTAAAAGCCCGAGTTTTCTGCGCTATCATTAGCTTCTTCCCCATATCATAAGCGAAGTGAGGAGGATATTTTCAACCGCATACTTCAAAATGTCCGTTTAAACAAACAGCAAACTAGTTTCCCATATAGGTTTTCGATGAAATTGGCTGAAGTATATAACAGTCATGAACGATCGTTACGTATACCCCTTCTTTTTGTTTCACTTGTAGGATGGTAAAACAGGGGCACGTTTTCTTTTGTATTTTCTCGAAACAAATTTCTTCTTTCATATTTTACTGTAATAACCGATATTATTGTTTTTCGCGAAATAGAGCCTTTTCTTAATTGTTTCCGCGACTACATGAATACTCGCAAGAGAATTTATATTTTCATTGTACAAATATGACAATAAAGTCGATTTGTGACCAAATTTATCGATAGAATTGTCTTTCGACCAAAATTTGTCCATTGTTAAGTTTTTTCACATAAAAATGATGTTAGAAGGTCACTAACGTTAAGTTATACTATATGTTTTTATTATTCAAGCCAAGAAAATTGTTATGATATACAGAATAGTCTTTTCTAACTACCTCAGTCACCATAGACAAATTGGTTTTGACGTTTCCAATAAGAATCGAATAAGATGCTTACCAGATTCTTATATAAGAAGTGGCACGAAAGCTGCACGAATTTCGTAAGAATCAGATAAGAATCGAGTAAGAATCTTATAAGAATTTCATCAGAAAGTGATAAGAATCAGATCAGATTCTTACAAGATTTTTGCAAGAATTATTCTCTGTACATTCGTTCCAGTATGATTTCAAAGAAATAATTTTTTCTTCGTAGATTTTCGTTAATAATAATAATAATGCGATTACTTTTCGCCCTCTTGAATGAGAATTTTTTATGATTTTGACTCTTCGAGTGCATGCATATTAATTATGATTTGTTGCCATTTCTTTCTCTGTTTGGCGACTGGCTGTTTTCTATGAAATGTCTCTAGTTCATCTATTTCGGCTCGTGTGAGTGCCCATGTGCATACATTTTAGGTGAGGATCGGTTTGACGTATGCATTGTATAATCTAATGCGTTTCTTTTCACTTATTTTGTTATTTTTTTGCCGTAGTTTCCACATGTTTTTGAAAGATGCTGCTGCTAGTTGCTTTCTCCTTTGCAACTCTTCTTTATCGTCGAGTAGTGTGTCCAGTTTTTTCACTTTGCACCAGCTTTCATCTTCCTTTTTTTCCTGTCTTGCGACGGTGGTTATTTCTGTTTTTGCTTCGTTCATTTGGTTAGCTTTTGACCGCTTATGTAGCTGTGGAATTATGTTCATCCGATTTATCGAGAAATAGCATATCTGCTGTTGTATCTTAACTATGCCGTTTTCTTTCAGCATCTGTATGAAGGGACATGTATAATAAATGCAAGTTAAGCCTCTTAAGGATACTCAGAGTGACAAAAACTTTCTGTTTTATTACATGTCGCCTCCTTTCGGCATATAATACATAGCTTGTGACTAGAACCAGCATAAATAACATTATCCATTGTAAGAAGCTCTCCGACTTCTGTTTCAATATCTTCAGCTAGAACCGGATCAGGTGGTTTTGTAATATTTTGACAAAGGGGATTCCATCTCTTTTTTCAGATCATACACAAGTCTAACACAACCAGCGTATAAATAAAGATTTTTGACATGGAATAATTTGTTTTGCGATTGAAGATATTGGTGATACTAATCGAATGTGTTAGAAGGTATTGAGCGACAATTCTATTTCTACAAAGAGCGACGCATACATTGTTTATTCGGCATTTTTGGAAATGATCTACTCTTCTAGTATTTACCTACTTTAAAACAGGTGAGGTTTTAAGTTAGATATCCAAATAAACAAGAATGTCTTTACCAAAGAGTGGATTATAGTTTTTGAATTAGAGCTTCAAATGCAACCTAAAACAATTTCTTGTAGGAACAGTTTTTTGATGATCCTTAGTATCAATTTTCTATTTTGCCGTAAACGTTAGCTGGTTGGTTTTGTTTAGAGTAAGATATTATGCATTATCATAGTCAACTTTTTATACTAACAGTGAATCTCTACAAGAATTCTTCTGTTTTTTATCTTTGTTTAAACATAGACTAGAAAGAAAATTACAGCGGTTAAGAGAACTAGTGCTTAATAAGTGATGAAATGTGTCGTTACTTTTCGCTACTATGCAGACGTTTTCGCCGTAGATTACACGCAATGAATTTATTTCGACGAAACATTATATCATAATGTTTGTTGACAAAGAACAGCGACGTAGATTACAATACATGTTTGAATACAGCTCACTTTTTTTCATAGAAGAAAAACGAGAACTATCAAAAAAATAACTAAAACTTATGCATATAGCCCGCCTATATATATGCTTAAGAACATAAAGTCTTGTTTAAGTGTTCTTTACATATATATATGTAAAGAACACTTAAACAAGACTTTGACCATATGAATCATTCGTACTTACTATGCGTTGTTATATTTTCAAGATAAAATTTTGAGAATAAAACAAATATGCAGTGTAATAATCTATTTCTTTGTGTCAACAAACATCGTGATATTATTCCATTGAAATCGAGTTATTCCGTGCATTCTGTACCCAATATCATAATAACGAAAGAAGCTGTTCTTAGAGGAAAACAAGTGATATTTTTTTGATGTTCGTAATATGAAAAAAGCGTCGCTGAATAAACCTGTTACCTGAATAGAAAATTTTTAGCTACAAATACTTTTAATCGAATGCTCAAAATTCGGAGATATTTCTGACAAAGTTTGGTATAGAAAATTTAAAATTTGGCTGATTTATGCCCCGTTGAATTTTTATAATATTTTTTATAGAGATGAATTTTTAGTCCTTTGCCAATTCGTTTTTCAGATGATAAGAGATAAAATAGACAAGCAAATATCTCTATTTTGTACAGAAAAATGTGCTGATCCTAATGTTGAAAATCGCTTTTGAAAATACTTCTTGGTTTTAAAGTTAAATCCGTTTTACTATATATAACTACCTTTAGGCACCTCAGTGAAAATAAATTCATTTTTTTCTGACCTAATGGAGTTGGAAAATTCTAACACCAGCTTCTTATGCGGTAGAGTCACGACTTTTCAATCATATACCAAAAGTAGCCACTTGTGGGTGGAAGATTTTTGGTCTTATCCGACGGCGTCCTTTACCGGTTAATGTACCTAATAAAGTTGCTTTACCTACCCCGCAACCGAAATGAATATTTAAATCGAAAAAACAAAAAAACTCAACTTATTCGAATCAGATGTATCTGTAATAGATGACGTTTCTCCTGGTGTAGCATAGTTTCATTATCAGTTAATGATACTAAACTTTGGCACATTCTTGAAGCATCTAAATGCGTACGAAACGACTTTCGTTAATTGTAAGTAATAAGGTTTCATAATCATTCCTATAATCTTTTGTTCTCAACTGAACGTCTACATAATCATTATATTTCCCCTATGCACGTTTTTTCCCAAACTGAATCGAAAAGCACAAAAGTAAAACGAGTGTTGAATGTCTGAAAACTTTGTAGAAATGTACTAAGCAGGTATATACTACCCAAGCAAAAAAATGCCTTTGAGAATATCTAGCTGTAAAAATATGCTATCGGGCAATATCGGCTTGTCATAGCTAGCTATTAGTACCACTTTTATTGAGTTAGCTAGCTATGTCGGCTATGATAGCTAGCGACTAGATATTGTACCCGATATCTAGGGTTGACAAAAAACACTGATCAGAGTAGCTATTTCGTCGATATATTGACCAATTATTGCCCGATATATTGACTCACGTATTGACAGCATGAATGATACTGTCTACAATGCATCCTGGGATGTCTGTATATAGACATCCTGCTTTCTATAATATATTTACAGAAAGCAATATTCCCCAATATATTGGTTTATTATTGCTCAATATATTGACTTGATATGAATAAATACTTTGTAAATTTGTGAAGTATATGTTTTACATATATAGTACAGTGACTGCAAAACAAAAAGATGAGTAATTCGATCGTCGATGTATCGAGTAATGTATTGGACTAGCCAGCTATATCTAGTAATGTGTTGTGTTATCTAGCTATCTCGCCCGATAGTCGATATTGTTTTTCTGCTTGGATATAGCTAACTGTATGTGTATTACAGAGACGGAAAAACTTAATGATGCATGTCTCTCAAAATGTTGTTGTTTCTTTTCTCACCTAGCATACATTATGTCTTCGTAAGATCGACCATCAAGAGACAATAAGTGCACAAAATAAATAAAATTCAGTATTACTCTTATCGTACCTAGTAAAACTGGATATTCAAAAACATTAAGCATTTAGCTGTTTTGAAAAAATTATTGTCTTAAATTCCGCTAGACTATGTATATCCATTACAAATTTTCTTTCGTCGTCTTTCGCTGAGCGACATGAAAACGAGAGTACTTCACTTCATGCATCTGCATTATCTCGTGTCGGTAAAATAAAACGTGGTAGTTAGCAACTCTCATTACAATGAAGTAGCTAAACATTGATTGAAATAAACCAACGAATTATGGGGTCTTTCGTCCTTCGCCGTCAAAACACAGAAAGAACTGAGTTATATTCTTCTATTTTACGTCGAAAAATCTGACAAGAAAGTGAAAAGTATAAAAAGATATGAGAAAGTGAATTACTGATAAGTCCCATAGTTGTGTTGTTTCAATTCATATGTTTGCTTTACGAATATAAATAACAATGTGGTTAGTTATACTTGTTTTTTCCGTTGCAACCACTATTATTAAGTCTGATCTGTACGAGAATACATGCTATCCGTATCGTTTCATAATTGAATCAAAAAATAGAACCTTAGTAACACTAACAGCCGAACATGAAACACTCAAAACTCTGTATAAAGTAACTGTGAATGATGACGATGTCACGTCATTGACAAATCAATATGCGACTGATTCCGGGGATCTGTACGATTTACTTGAAGATCTTGTAGCAAATCATTGTACTGCAAAACAAGTAAGGTCATTGAAAACTCTGGTAATCAATGAAATTGATGGCGAGGATGAATTAGAGCTCAATTTTACCGTTGAGATATCCCTTCGAGGAGCTAAAAGGCGAGCATGGAATTTCCTGCTAAAAATGGAAAAAGTTCAAATGAATGATCTTGAGCGACTCGAACGTGTTATCAAAGATTTGACGGAGAAAGTCAATGTTATCACCAATCATTATATGCCATGTGAAAAAAGTATTTCGCTCAAAGGTGCCAGTTTTAACGAAAGAAAAAATGGAAATCATTATTCGTATTCACTCTTGTCGGTGGACAAAGCTTTTGATCTGAATGATGCAAGATACCAGCATTTAACCTTCAAAATTGGTGTGAGTGTCGATACTCGGTCGTATATTGGTGTTACATCAGCCTCTTACTATAGTGGTGGAGACGTAACAACAACAGACGATACATACTGGCTACAAGTTACAACAGGAATGATTTATTCAAAACACATTGGAACAAAAGCATATACGTGGGCAGCAAAAGCAGGAGACAATGTTACAGTTATTGTTGATGTGAAGAAACTCTATGTCGGTTTTTCACTTAATAGCCGATGTGAACATCATTGGGCATTTCATTTGAAAAGATCATCGATCTTTGCGAGTGTTCAAATGATCTCAAATCAAGAAATATTCGAGATTGTTGAATAGATTCTTTCTTTTGATATATATGGATAAACTATCTTTATTGCTAAAATAATGACATTGGTCGGTATTACAAGGATCTGTAAGGACATACAAAGTTGTCTGTATGACCGACCAAAACAAATATGCTTGGAAAAAGAATTTCTCAGTGTTTTAAATTAAGAAGGCAGTCCAAGTGTAAAAAATGAAGCATGTTTACTACACTCTCCGCTTTGTGACAAGAGAGGTGAAGGTGCATAGTTATGTGATTCAGTACGAGAATCATTGTTGAATAGAATGTTTAACGACGTAGAATTTGATGCATATCCTTCAACTATACCAGAAAAAATCGATATGTATATTGTCATCTTTACTAGTGTTTATCTTATGTTTTGTGGTATTTTGATATTCTATTTCCTCTTTCGCCTGTTAATCAACTTGCAATAAAAATTAATCTGCACGATAAAAAAGTAAGACAAATTCTAAATATGCCCAGTTGGTATACGTTAATGGTATATGTATGGTATATTAATTCTATAAAAACTCTGAAGTTTTTCTGCTTATGTGAGAGTGATTGGTGCGGTGAATATTGTTGAGATCAGATCAACTGTACCCGCAATTCTTATTCAAAATGTCTTGTAGGGATGATTATTTTCGACCTTTGTCTGAGTATCGGATGACAATCAAAGTTAATGAAAGTAGTTTCCCAACAAATTCTACCCTTGTCCGTAAGTCCAGGGCTAGGGTGAGAAGAGGTGCGACTTAAGCTCCTTGGTAACTCTACACCTCATTTCAAACACAATTCTGACGTTTTTTGTCGGATACAACCGATTTACAGTTGCTCTTATCCGTTGAAAAGAAAATTTCGATTGACCATATTAACCCTTTGGCTCCCGGGGACACATAAATAAGTCTAATTGCAATTATTGCATGATCATAATAGCTAGAATAAATTTGAAAAAAGATTTGAATAGCTGAAAGAATTTCCAATCTCAGGTGCTGTATACAAAGGCTCTATCAAAACTTCTGAAATAAGGATCTCTGGAAAACTCAAATCTCAAAAAACCGAGTCCTAGAGTTCAATCCAGAAATTCTTTGCAAATAAGTCCATCGTGTAGAGCAAACATTTCTGAAGAAATTGAGACGTCTCCGAGCTGTTTTTGACATTTTCTCATGGAGCAGCATTCAATTTACGGAAAGTCCCATAGCAGCAAAACTAACGGAAAAACAAGAAGATACGCCCATAGGGCCTTTTGTAAATTGATTCTTGCTCCATGAGAAAATGTCAAAAACAGCTCGGAGACGTCTCAATGTCTTCAGAAATGTTTGCTCTACACGATGGACTTATTTGCAAAGAATTTCTGGATTGAACTCTGGGACTCGGTTTTTTGAGATTTGAGTTTTCCAGAGACCCTGATTTCAGGAGTTTTGATAGAGCCTTTGTATACAACACCTGAGATCGGAAATTCTTTCAGCTATTCAAATCTTTTTTCAAATTTATTCTAGCTATTATGATCATGCAATAATTGCAACTAGACGCATTTATGTGTCGCCGGGAGCCAAGGGGTTAAACTGGGTCGCTAGGGCTATGGCTATGGCGACTTTCTCCATTTCATTAAATAAACTTTTGTTTTACAGCCGCTTTTTCGTTACAGACAAGCTCAACTCTTGAAAACTGAACTGGTCCTTACTACGCGCACAGATCTTAAGACCACCGTTCTGTAACTTTTCTCTCAACACAGTTGAGAATATATACGTCAGACGTCAACGAAATAATTCACTGAATCGATCTTTAGTGGCTCACAGTGAGCGTTTTTCCATAGAGCACGCGGACGTCTGGTCTTTTGAGTTAAAAGACGATAATTTTCGCATAAAAGTAGTACTGCTTTTAACATTTCAACATCATCCTTCTCACACACATACTGGGCTGCTGTTAACCCATTTTCACCATTTAAATCGCTCTTATACACGCCTACTATTTTCAACCTGCAGTACAGTGAATATACGCTGTAGAGAAACAAATTTTATCCGAACATTAACATTCTTCTTTTACTACACATGTATACACAAGAAGAAAAGAAAGAAAATGCTGATGATTGAGTATGGAAAGAGGATAAAACCCAAGGCCTTGAAGTAAACGTTTCAAGTATCGCCGTTCACCAGTTTTTCAGAAACTTCAGAAAAAAACTTGTGCCACATTCTTAAATTTCATCCGATCACGTTCAAAATTTTATCAGAGGTACTCAAGGCCATTATGCAGCTAATTTTTCGGAAATTTTTCAGATCTTTCCTGGCCGAGTTGAAGGAAAAATATTGAAAAACGTCTCAAAAACCAAGTTTTTCAATTATGGAAACCCTATAACTCGGTGAAGAAAAGTCTAAAATAAAATTCCAAAAAAATAGTTCTGCAATAGTGTCTTGAGTATCTCTGGTAAAATTTTGAACGTGATCGGATGAAATTTAAGGGGGCCGTAATGTGGCACAATGAAAAACCGAGTTTTCTGAAAAACTAGTGAACGCCAATACCTGAAAACTTCAAGCAGGAACGAAAAAGTGCTCCATTGAGTTCCCAAACAGTTCTGAAAATACGAAGCCCAAGCAACTTTTAGTTTTTATTTCACAGTATTTCTACGGAAAGCCCAAAAACAGGGGGGAGGGTACCCTTAACATTCTTCTTCCAGTACTCGCAAAAACTAGCGAGTACTGGAAACGGATAGGCACATCATTTGTAATGGAATACAAAGGGAAAAACTAACAGTTACGCGACTAAATCAGCAGCAGTAGCAAGATGAAACGACTCACTTTACAATATAATGGTTTATTATTGCTCAATATATTGACTTGATATGAATAAATACTTTGTAAATTTGTGAAGTATATGTTTTACATATATAGTACAGTGACTGCAAAACAAAAAGATAAGTAATTCGATCGTCGATGTATCGAGTAATGTACTGGACTAGCCAGCTATATCTAGTAATGTGTTGTGTTAGCTAGCTATCTCGCCCGATAGTAAATAATTTGCTAAATAATTGCTAGCTAGCTATATCGGGTAGTATATTGAGTTAGCTAGCTAGATCGCCCGATAGTCGATATTATTTTTCTGCTTGGATATAGCTAATCTCAAGAACCAACATATGGTATAGACTGGTCTGTTTTTTCGGAAGAATATTGAGAGAAATATCACTATTGTATTCTAAAAGAAAACAACACACTTCGCCACTCCGTGCCAGTGTACGGAGTGCTCCAGTGCGGTGGAGTGTGCTTTACTCCGCAGACTGGCTGGTGTGGCGGAGTGCACTTTCCCCCCCTTGAGAAATATTCCCTCTAGTTAACAGAGGTTTCCGTTATTAACTTTTGTTTTGTCTTTTTTATTTTTTTATAACGTTTAAACCAATAGCTGACAGACAACAAAAAAAAGCTGTCTCTGCACAGTAATAAAGCTAATAGAAAAAAGTTATGAATAATTTTCCATTTTTCTTTATGATTGGTGATGGAAAATAATCAGTGAAATACCTATGTAGATAAGCTGTTTTATTTTCGAGAAAATACAAATATAATTAATTATGCAGCCGATCACTTACCAAGAACTTTATTAACTTCCTGCCAGATACATATTCCTCATCTTAAGAACCAACATATGGTATAGAAACTTTGAATGATTTTCCATGTTTTTCAAATACTCTTCATAAAATTCAGGAAAAAACACTATCCTGATAGAGTAAATTTTTTATTTTATGATCAAAGTAACTGAACAATTGAGTTATCATTGAGCAGAATTGAATCAATGTCAAATCCAATATTATTTTCAGATAACGAAAATTCTTCAAAACAGTTGATGATAATCTTTAGGTACTATCAATATTAAGGGTGCATACAAGAGTATTTAAATCACTAACTAGAATCGTAGCTGGATTGTGGAAATTGGATTGTGAAAGAGGTGTTGAAGAGCAGCGTATTATAAACTTTGGGTTAGTGGGATAGTAGTCCGATGATTTTCTTCTACAGCTTGGAAGAATGTAACACATACCACGTTCTTTTTAAAAACATCCTTCATACACTCGTTCATCAAACCGATCAGTAATATTATCTGTTCTTGGTTCTTCATATTGATTTGTCACATCAGCGTCTTGATTCACCGTTATAACCCATGATAAAATCTGTTCTGGACGTAAAACACAAAACTCATCTACACCATTTGGATGTTGAAAATAAACCGAGTCAAAATTTACTCTTTGTTCTTCAGTTAATTTTACGCCTCTTACTTTTGTAAGAAATATTCGTCCTAAATTAACTTTAACACATATATATGCACCAAAATAATGTGCTTTTGTTTCTGTATGATTAATTGCATGCCCTTAACACTTGGTTTAAACCCTGTAGCATCTTCTGCAATCTGAAAAGCTGATTCTTGTTTTGTCTGATGAAAACCAAATATAATTTGATTCTTAGTATGTTGTTTTGGTTGAAATTGATCTTTACCAGAATGATACATTAATATATGAAATAAGCTTTCAGATGCACAGTTTGAGCGACGACATTTAGATGAACGCCATTCGATTGTACGTTGATCGTTAATAATTGAATAGGGTATAAAGCCCTTATGTGATTTATTATATTTAATATCGTATTTATTCTCTGGATGATAGTACCATAAACGTCGGTAATGCGAATATTCAAAAATAATTGTAAATGTTGATGGTACTAATGAAAGAGTTAACTCGGTAATGACGTCCGAAAAAAGCAGAAATTTGACTGCATCCCATAACACCTACATTCAGAAAAAAAGTGTTCTGAGAGCACCTTTAACTTGTACTTTCGCACAACTAAAATGTGTTGCTTAATTAGAGGTCTGCGGGATAGTCCCAGTCCCGGTCCCGCGGGACCTTTTACGGGACCGGAATCCAGAAAAATCTTTTTTACGGGACCGAGACCGGGACCTAGAGGTCTGCGGGACGGTCCCAGTCCTGCGGGATTGTCCCAGTCCTGCGGGATTGTCCCAGTCCCGTGGAACTTTTAATAGGACCGGGACCAGGTTTTTTTGAAAGTAATTTTGTATGAAGTATAAAAATTTCTTAGTTTCTGTGGCTGTTTGTACGTAGGCAGTAGTTCTACGAGAAAGAATTCACACATAATTCGAAAAGCCCTCTGTTAATAATCTCATCCCAGAGTGCTATTTTCCAGATTAGCTTAAATTAGTGTCGCGCTGACACAGTTTGTTCAAAGTTCAAATTTTTGTAAACACAGCTAAAGCTATAAGTTTCTTCTAGCTTAAACAATAGAGAAGGAAAAATGCCTACTGTTGAAAGTTCATAGTTGAATACTATTCATTTTTATCTATCAAAAAAAGTCATCATCAAGTGTTGCAGTTGTTGCCATTTCATCATTGTCACTATCATTATCTTTTTGCTTGTTATTATCATCATCCTGCTCTTATATATTTTTTTTGTTAATGTTTCTGAACTGTGTCTGCAGTAGTATTACATAAACCTTTGTAATTTACAACTCGCTGACTTTCAAACTACGGGCGCTACTTTGAAAAAATATTTACGGGACCACGGGACCGGGACCAAAAATGTTTGGTCCCGCAGACCTCTATGTTTAATATGTCAGTTTCGCACTTGCCTTCGGTAAGTAAGTGCGTTTGTGCATACTTCGAATTTGAACATCTGGCATCGTCAGATAGCGTAGTGGTATGTGCGTTCGGTTATAAACAGGAAAAAAATATTTTTGAGGACAAATCTATCTTTATTTCATCTCTGCTTTTATTTTCTGTTGAACGTTATTTTGGTTTCTGAACTGGATATTTTGGATTGTACCGATGCGTTGAACAAGTACGGTTATGCTGAAGTACCTGAGTTGATTTAATACTATAAGTAAAATTTAATCGAAAATAAACAAATATTCAGTGAAAATGTGAGAAAAGAAATCGAACTATTATTTGTTGATAGTGATGATGAATCCGTCTTAAATCTGCCTGTTCTTCGTACTGCTGAACAGAAGTGGATAGAAAAAGAAATTTACACATGTGATTTAGACCATAGACAGTTGCCCATTAAGATTTTTGCGAGGAAGCAGCCACTGACAAATTATACACTGAGAATTTGATAAGGAACTTATACATTTAGAATTGGTACACTTTTCAACACGTTTTTCTAGTGTAATGTTAATTTAGGTTTTTTACTTCCTTCCGTGACCGTTTGACACAAGTAATTTTCTCTTGTCTCTCGCATACGTTTATCCCATTTAACGTTGCTTCTTACTTTATATCCACTGTCATCACTCATTAATTTTCACTGCACATAGTTAATGGATGCCTTCAAAGAGAAGCGATAACAGCATATGCTATACCTCTTGGTGCATATTGATTTCCACATGCGCATGCTAATATAACTGCAATAAACCTTAATAACCAAAAACCAATTAAAATCCAAATTCTTGTTAATAAGATCCATCTTGGATTATCATAATAACAATCAATCTTTTTAAAACAGGTTAATGTAGCCAATGGCCATAAATATCTTCGTTCGTTACATATATCATCGCGATCTGTTTCATAAAATATGTCACCAACGTATTTTAATATGACATAAAGTAAATCGGCGAGAAATAAAATAAATGAACTAAATAATTCAACAAATAATATTGGTATTAAATAACGACGGCTACCACTTAAATAATTTGTTATATTTCCAGTATCAGCTGATAAATCTGTACAGATAATAATAAAACGTATTAAAAATGTTATACTATCAATTGAATGAAATAAAACTAATAAGCGATGACGTTTTGCATCATTTTTTAATAACATTTTATTTTTATTCTAAAATCGTAAAGTGAGTGTGTTTCAACACATGGTTTACCTAACAAACAATAATAAAAAAGACTTGAATACACTAATATCAAAGTTACTGACAGGGTCCATTAGAACAATGCTACACAATTCTTCCGCGTCTTATCTACTCTCATTAAAATAAGCTTTTCAAAAAGCAAAAAATTGAATTTTTTTAGCTGTAGAAATGATAAACCGATATTCCTTCGACCTCTTCGTCAATGAAATATAGTTGTGTATTTCGAAAAATTGAATGCAATTAATTGTAATTTCAGAAGTAATTCCCATTTTAAATAAAAAAGTATATTTCTTCGATGAACAGAATTTGTTCACTCCTATGTGCATATATGTCTATTAGATAGTAAAATCTAATATTGATTATTTTCTATCTTTTTGAGTAAGAACACAGAAAAACTATCTATATCTATATCATTGAACGCACGAGAAAGTAGGAAACTGACGACATCAGAAGAAATGGATAAAACATAATGTCAGAAGGGCAGGAAAGAATACGATCGTTAGTATTGACCCGACTAATGACATTAGCAGAATAAGAAAGAATTGTCACTATAAAGAAGTGATCTCTATCCATATTTCATCATAGGATAACATGTGACATGAACAAAAAGAAGGATGAATCGAGTACAATACAAGTGAGTAGCAAAAAGAAGGCCTAGTACTTAACAATCTTCTGTTGAAGAGTCATTATGATAATAAATGGTTTAATAATATTGTTTTTCTATTGCAAAAAAGTCAATAAATAGTTTACAAAGGGTATAACCAAGAAAAAAAGTGATTCATTGTCATTCGTATTTTTATTCTTGTTTTTAGCTAACCGTTTTACAGACTTAAAATGCGGACAAAAGCATGGTTTTTGAGTCATATTTTAAACTCTTTCATTATTGACAAAATGAAGGAGAATACGAAAGAAACAGAAAAAGAACAAGAATAACAATAGTAACTCAACAACAACATTCTTCTCTTTATCGTTAATCGTTATATGACGATACAGAGCAATGTAAAGGAGAAAAGATTCGTTATTCTTACAGCAATAACGAAAGAAAAAGCTAAAGCGGTACATTCCAACTAAAGTGGCTATTTAAATTCTAAATTGTAAAATGGTGACCATGAAAAACCAATTCGCATACCACAGTTTGGCACATATCATTTGAACACGCTCTATGTTTCAACAAACAAAATGGAATTTAATCCGAGAATAAGGGAACAGTAAATCGTAAGAAAAGTAAGAGATAAAAGAATCAAAAAATTAAATTATGAGATATGACATCAAGTTTTCCAATTTTTTAGTAAATAAATCACTGTCAATCAATCTTTAGCTTATAGTTTTGTTATTCTCTTCTTATATTTTATTTTCAGAAAGAAAAATGCGATCAGTTTCATTTCGATCACCAATTAATTTTTATAATGATCAAATACGATATTATTTATTGCTTATTTTTCATTTAATTGATTTTCTTACATTTTTTATACGTCTTACCATTCTATGTGCTTACGATTTAGTTAAAATATCAAAATTAGATACATCTCATCCATATCGCAAAGGTTTATCATATTTAATTTTAATTATAATTTTTGAATCATTTGGTTCTTTAATCATTATATTTTCAAATTTTTTATATCTTATAACAAAATATTGTATACATGCAGTGTATGTCGGTGGTGATACGTCGACATATATATGTTGTAGACAAAATACAGTATGGCATTTATCAACAATAACTTGTTTTAAGTTTAAATGCTATTCTGAACATCCTCAAGGCATATTATTAACTCGACTTGTTATTCTTGTTATTTGTTTTTTCTTTCGTTTTCTATCCTTTATGTTGGGTGCATCATGTGCAAATCGTTATTCCCCACTTGCTGTTGCTTATACATCAATTAGTAGTATCTCATTAGTACTATCAACTCTATTACTTACACTAGAGTTTATACATTTTTTTCGTTTATGGACTTATCGTCCAAATAATGATTATATTCGACGTTTACATCGTTCACATGCACGTTTTATTCCATATGAAGTAACAAATGATCCACAAAGTGGAAAATGGACTCTTTCATTATGTCCACAACAAGATAATTGTAAATCTGAAAGTCTACATCATTTAGTTTTTTATCATTCAACAAATTTATTATCACAACAACAACAACTACCAGAATCTATCAAGGGCACGATTAAACAACAAAAATATATAATTGCTTATTATCAAACAACAAGTAATATAGCCTATCAGATAGCTTACGATGGTTTTCCTAAACGTCCAAAATATTCTTTAGAATTAAATTCAGATATATTTTTTACATTAAATCTTATATATTCTCCTCAAAAAGATGCTATATTTTATGTTCGACTGAATATTGATACTGATTGTTTTACAATTATCGATGATGATAACGTAGATAATGAAAAATTAATGGCAGAAGATATATTTAAAAAAGATTCAACACGTACGATACAGGGAATTTTTTTTCAAACAAAACAAAAAATTTATGTAAGATATTTAAGATCAATTGAA